TGAAATAGTGGAGGGAGATTCAGTGACTCTGAGCTGCAGCAGTGATTCAAACCCTCCTGCAGAAATCAGCTGGTTTAAAGGAGGAAGGTTTGTAGGATCTGGAAGAATCTACAGCATCTACAGCATCAGCTCTGATCACGGTGGAGAATACAAGTGCAAGTCCATCAATGAACATGGAGAGAAATGAGAGAAATACGTGACTTTAAACGTCATGTGTGAGTTAATCATAAAACAAAAGATGCTTATTCTCTGTTTTTTTCTCATCTTTTAAGTTCTTATTAGCAATTTTAAAAATGTGTAAAAGGTTTTAAATAATCAATTTGGTGATTGTCATTAGATCCTCCAAAGAATGTCTCAGTGTCCATAACTGGATCTGGTGAAATAGTGGAGGGAGATTCAGTGACTCTGATCTGCAGCAGTGATGCAAACCCTCCTGCTCTGAACTTCAGCTGGTTTAAGGAGAATCAAAGCTCAGCTGTTGGATCTGGACAGAGTTTCAGTGCACTACAGAGTGGACGCTTCTACTGTGAGGCTCACAATCAACATGGATCTCAGAGATCAGATGCTGTTACTGTCACAGGTGAAGCTTTTATTAACACACTCCTGTATCTTCACATCATTCATCAGTTTGTTAATTATGATGATCTTCATCTTTCAGTTCATCCTGGTGCTGATAGGAATGTGATTGTGATCGCAGCAACATCTGGAGGATTATTCATCATCATCATCATCATCATCATAATCATATGGTTTATAATGTGAGTTCAATAGAAAAAAAAACAGCTGTGATTGTATTTGTTCACTTTTGGTTTAATGAAGCAGGCAATTATGTATAATTAAGCATTTATATTTGATTATATTAGTAATCTTAAAAAAACAGCATTCATATTTTGCATGAATTGAATATAGTTCTCCATATGCTGCCAATGATATTATCACAGGAGGAAACAAAGGAGTGTTAAAACTGAAGATCTCACAGTCAGACAGGTAAAGAAAAGGAATCTCAGTATTTTACATCACAACATTGATTTGAATTCATCTGATGTGGCACTTGATCTGAAAAGTTTGTGACAAACTTCTGTGTACTGAGAATCTACACTTCAGATCAAACTGATTTACGTCTCTTAATTAATAATGATGTATTTTCTTGTCTTTCAGAATGATCTTTATGCTGATGTGTCACAGAGAGTTTCAGTTCATGACGAGTCTCTTACTAAACCTGATACAGTCAATGACGCTCCGTATGCCAGTGTGGAACCCAGCAGCTTCAGAGGAGAAACTCCTGAATCCAGAGATACTGAGGAGATCCAGTACACAACTGTCCAGTATCACCAAAAGAAAGAGATGAACATACCGGAATACAATGAATGTCAGTATGACGAAATAAGAGTTCATCAGCCCGATGCTGCCGAGAGGTGAGAAAAATCCAACATCACCAGCACAGATCATCTAATCAGGGTTGTAACATCGTCCTGTTTGTTTTGATTTTTCAGGCAATCAAATGTTCAAACTGTGGAAGATGCATCTGTGATCTACAGCACCCTCAAATGAATGATACAGACCAGCGAACACAAAGCCTGTGCTCGACTGTTTAATGAGTGATTGTTGGATAATTGTACAGTTGTGGAATAATTTACTCATCTGTTCAAACCACAACCACTATAAACATGTTCAAGACCCACATTAAGATGCATGTTCTTTTTTCGTAACAAAATTTTTAATATAAATAAAATTTTTGTAAGCAAAACCATTTGGAATTGAACCATTTCATCTTCAGACCATGTCAACTAAAGCAAAATGAAGTTGATCAGTCAAACCATTTCCGAATAATGCGCAAACAAATTTGTCGAAAAGCTCACCAAAGTGGAAGTGAATTTTGAACAAACATGCTGTATTTTATGAATGCATTGGTGTATTGTTATGAAACTTGGTATGTGTCTTCAACACCAGGCCCTGAATGTGCTCAACATGTTTTGTGATAGCGTGGTCAAAAATTGTAATGAAATTTCAAAAACACGCCAATATTTTTTTTATGATTAATTTAGCCTATTGTCATGAAACTAGAAAAACTACTACAAGGCAAGTTTATTTATATAGCACATTTCATACACAATGGTAATTCAAAGTGCTTTACATAGAAAGGAAGTAAAATAATCATATAAAAAAAGAATCACAACAATAAAACAATGAATTTATAAACTTTTAAAATGATTTAAAAATGGATTTAAAATGAATTTAAAACAGTTAAAAATAGAAAATGATTATATATAAAATGCAGTGCAATCAGATCGGAGGTCGCACAGTGCTCATTCAATAAATGCACAGCTAAACAGATGAGTTTTGAGTCTAGATTTAAATGTGGCTAATGTTTTAGCACATCTGATCTCTTCTGCAAGCTGATTCCAACTGCGGGCGGCAAAATAGCTAAAAGCGGATTCCCCTGGTTTTGTGTGAACCCTTGGTATTTCTAACTGACTCGATCCTAATGATCTGAGTGGTCTGTTAGGTTTATATTCAGTGAGAAGAATCTACAGCATCTCAAACATCAGCTCTGATCACGGTGGAGAATACAAGTGCAAGTCCATCAATGAACATGGAGAGAAATACTCTGATGCTGTGACTTTAAATGTCAAGTGTGAGTTAATGATCATCTGCACTTTGTTCAAAATTTCCAAATTCACAATTTACTAATATTTATTGTGATTTTTTATATTTTTGTGTCCTTTTTAGACCCTCCAAAGAATGTCTCAGTGTCCATAACTGGATCTGTAGAAATAGTGGAGGGAGATTCAGTGACTCTGATCTGCAGCAGTGATTCAAACCCTCCTGCTCTGAACTTCAGCTGGTTTAAGGAGAATCAAAGCTCAGCTGTTGGATCTGGACAGAGTTTCAGTGCACTACAGAGTGGACGCTTCTACTGTGAGGCTCACAATCAACATGGATCTCAGAGATCAGACGCTGTTACTGTCATTGTACATGGTGTGTATCAATCTGAGTCATTCTGTGATTAGACAAGCATTTCTGAAACTGATATTCTCTAGGAAAAAAGAAAATGTGATGCAAAAATCAAGAATTCTAATATCAATTTACAAAAATATAAAAGAAGTTTACTGTTATTTTATGACTGTACTTATAAACTTCCCTAAAGTAAGTGATGTTTGGAGTTTTAGGTCCAAAGTGATTTAATGTTTTCATTCCATTCTGTTATTATAGGTTAAAGGCACATCAACAATAAAAGAAAAATAATAATAATTCGCGAAATCCTCCATAAACACAGTATTAATGTAGTTCACTCGCTAAAAACAGCATTCTCACAGCTTATTTTATGTTTTGTTTATTTTGATTTGGACATAATTGAAAGTGGTAATATCTGAGAGGGTGAGATGATTTATTTATAAAAAGTCATTTCATTTCAAGCACTTGGATGGATCAAAGACCCCTTCAAGAAAAGTTAGTTCACATGGCGGCCATCTTAGCAACACCTCAGAGCAACTGCATCGTGGATATCCAAATCTTCATTACATGAATGGAAAAATTCTGAAATCTCAAAAACTGTTTGCCAAGCTCACATTTAAATAACATAATTCACAGTACTGTAATGAACACAGTAATGCGATGACTTTACCAATTGGTGATTGGCGCTTTCATTTAGACGGTGGGACTTATTATGACATATTTTGCATTACACTTTCTCTCATGGTAATATGAGTGAACCATCTTGTTAAAGTCTTTGAACCAATTCAGTCTGATTGCAAGCATGATAGGCGGTTGTTATCGCAATGAAATAATAATCAGCAAATCATAGTTGGCAAGAGAACACGATAGGCGGGCATTATTTTATTGACAAGGTAATGAGCCAATCAATGCACAGCTGAGGTTTCGCTTTCTCTCACATGATCTCACGATTCACTTCACATTCACCTCAATGAATGCACCTTCCATTGGTGTCATTGTAGGACGATGCTACTCTACGAAATTGGGTGTTTTTTGACTTAGTAATAATCGTATTTTGTAATATTTGTTTGTGTATTGTCAATTGCACAAAATTTAGTTTGAGGAGGCATTGTAATGTAGCAAAATCTTTGACTATAAAGATAAACATTGTGCTGAAATGCAGGCGTCCTCCTGCTGTACACAGTTTTGTTTTGTCATTGTGTATAATGATAAAAACTTTGTCCTGTCACTCGTCTTGTTGTAGGAAGAAAGTTTCTGTATGCAGTTGCTGGGGTCACTGGTGGATTGGGAGGTTTAGTTTTCATTTTCATCATTGTGTTGCTTATGTAAGTTCATCCTGTCTGTCAGAAAACACATTAGTATACCAAACGTACTCTGTTACTAACGTAACCTTGGTTCCCTGAGATCCGAGAACGAGTACTGCATCTTGCTTAAGACACTATGGGGAAAGTTCCTTTTTTTCCGAATACTGAAGCCGTTCAATAATACAGTGTAACTGCACAGCCATTGGTTTGTGCAGTGTATTAAAAACGATCCAATGGCTCGGCAGCGGTTCACAACAGTATCTACCACAAGCACATTGCCGTCAGCACCCGGAAGTGAACAGGGTACTTGGAGGCACAAAAGAGGCTGCTTGAGGGGTGGTCCAGCGATGGCGAGACTTTACCCCATCTTCTTCCTGTTCCGCAGGAACTACCTTGGGCCGGGGTCCTTGGCACTTAGGGAATGGGTAGCGTCTAGCCGAGCGGGAGCGATGTCGGGTCTCAGGCTTAGAGGCCGGCGGTGCAGCTGATGATATGGGCTTCGCGGGCTGCTGAGTTGGTGCCATCTTGGGGCGACTGGCAGCAGCTGCAGAACTGGAGTGCTTTTGCAAGAAGTGTCGCATTGCCTGGGACGACTTCTGCTCAGCGGTGAAGCGCTCTGCAAACCCTTCCACCGCAGGTCCAACAGGCCAGAGGGGGAGACCGGGGAGTTGAGGAAGGGGACCTTATCCGCATCCTTGATCTCCGTGAGGGTCAACCATAGGTGGCGCTCAAGCACCACAAGGCTGGCCATGGATCTGTCGATCGCCTGAGCCGTCATCTTCGTGGCGCGCAAAGCCAGGTCAGTCGCGCTGAGCAGCTCCTTGAAAGCTGCGGGGTCCAGTCCAGACTCGTCCATATTCTGGAGAAGTTTGGCCTGAATGACCTGTAGGACTGCCATTGATTGAAGCGCCGAGGCCGCTTGTCCAGCAGACGAGTAGGCCCTTCCAGCAAGCGCTGAAGTCATCCTACACGGCTTGGACGGGTGGGCAGGCCTTTGCCTTCCAGCTGATGGCCATGGGCGGGCAGAGATGTGAGGCCACTTACTCATCCAGTGGAGGCAGTTTGTCATACCCTTTCTCTTTGGTGCCGTCGACCGTTGTGAGGGCGGACGAAGAGGAGGCACGCAGATGGGCCGAGTGAGGGGCGTGCCAAGATCTGGTGATCTCATCATGGACCTCTGGAAAGAATGGTGAAGCTCGTTGGCGAGGGGCTTGATGGCGCCCCGGCAAGAAACATTTATCCAGGCGGCTGCGGGTGGGCTCCTCCGGCAGAAACCAATCCAAACCCAGTTCTTGCACAGCTTTAGACAGATGTCTTTTCCTCAGACGGCAGGGGGGCGAGGTCGAAAGACGAGCCCGGCAGCTCCTCCGCATCTGAAGCAGCCAGAGACACGCTGTCGTCCATGGCGTCACACTCGCTCCCACCGAACAAGACCAGATCGCTCGCAGCCGCAGAGGGATGCTGGTCCGGGTGAGAGAAGAGGATGGGGGAAGCCTCTCTATGTGAAGAGAGTGAGGCACGCGGGGGCTCAGCCGTCGTGGGCTCACTCGTCACTAAGCGCCGAGATCCTCTGCCCCGCTGCTTTTTCCTCACAGGCACAGAAAGCGGGAGGGCGCGAGGGGCAGAGTCGCTTTCTGAAAAGAAAGCTATCCGCGAGCGCAGAAAGGCGAGACTCATATCCTCGCAATGAGGACATTCCATCTCGATAAGTGCAGCTTCAACGTGGGCGGCGCCCAAGCATGAAACGCACTCGCCATGACTGTCAGCGGCATGCAGGGGAGCCTCCCTGTACTTCAGTAAGGCTTCAGTATTCTGAGAAAAAGGAGTTTTCCCCATAGTGTCTTAAGCAGGATGCAGTACGAGTGAAGTATCGATAGGGAACTTATTTTTATTTCCTAAATATAATTAAAATGATACTTTATTACAGGAGGAAAAAACTCAGACCAGATCACCTCACACAAAAGCAGGTAAATCAAATGAGCATTAAGCAAATGCAAACACCACATTGTTTGAGTCAAAATTTTTTGTTATTTTTGCCCCAAATAAAGTCATTTTCTCATTTTAGGATGACCTTTATGTCAGCGTATCAGCTCATGATGGGCCTCTGTCTGAATCTGATCCCGTGATTCAAAACGATGCCCTCTATTCCTTAATTACTCTCAGCAATATCAGTGGTAATCAAACTGAAGGAAAAGTGTCTGATTCTGAAGATACAGTAGAAATCCAGTATGTAACCGTCCTGTATCATTGAAACAAAGGGATGAACCAACCGGAAGAGAATGAAAGCCAGTACGACAGCATTAGAAAATACCAGCCTGATGCTGCCATGAGGTGAGAAACTCAATCATAACATGTTCATAACATATTTAGATTTAATCAGAGGACTTCTGAGGACACTTAAATGGTTTTAATTTAGCACTTGCATTGGTTGAGGTTGTATCTGCAGCAGGTAGTACTGATCTGTCATTGATGCAATTATATCTCTGAATATACTAATTTCACAGATCTGGTCAGAAGGTGGAGGATCAATCAGTGATTTACAGCACAGTCAAATGATCAAGAGATCAGTTTGGTGAAATTATTGTTCCTGGGAGAACTGATCTCCATATTGACATCGCCCTCATGTGGTGGGACTGTGGCACTGCTAGTCTTATGCTGGAATTGCATTTCTTCTTTTTAGTTTTGCTTAAGAGCTGGATTATGCCATGTTTTTGCAAAGAACATTTTCTCTCACTGGTCCTTTGATCAGGATTTTGCTGAAATCCTAAATTCTATTTTTCCACCAATTTGAGTTTTCAGGGAACCCTTTCAAAATTAAAATTAAAATTAAGAACTCCTCATCTGATTTGTAGGAAATTTGGCACGTTTCATCTAGAGAGACTTCTGACAAAAACTTGTCAAGATAAATTATTTGTCAAAGCCTTTAGTAGAAATTATAGAATTTTCAACCAAAGCCTGTGGTGACCTGCATTGTGAGCATAATATCCAAGTTTATCTTAGGATGCATGTTGCGATACATGCAATATATTTTCCTAATTGACCTGATTGAGTCAATAAGGATGTATTTCGTATCACACGGATCCTTGTAGAAGTATTTTTGCTTGAAACAGCACCTTATAATGGCCGTCCAACTCATGATCAAACACCCAAATCTCATTTAGCTACTCTTAGAAAGTTTAGAAATGTTTCATTTACCGAGAACAATGCAGATGACTTGACGTTTTCTTCAAACCCTTAAGGCCCGTTTCCGTCATTCAGATATATAAATGTCACTGGTGATGGTTAGTACTTTATCTTTAGTGTGAGTGACTAGAAGTCTAACTATAGCGTCTGCTGGTTACGTCAAGTAACTGAAACCTCTGCTTGCCCAACCACTTTCCACTCAGACGTGGACACATACAAGCACTGAATAAACTGCAAGCTCAATATGTTTAAAGGGGTCATATGATGCGATTTCAATTTTTCCTTTCTCTTTGGAGTGTTACAAGCTCTTGGTGCATAAAGAAGATCTGTTGAACACATTTCATTATACCAAATACACAAAATAATGTTCTTTTTAGCAGCATCATATGACCCCTTTAATGTTGCAACATCTCAATTGATTTTATTTAAATAAGAAATGTTATTTCTGATTTAAATAAGGTTACACCAACAAAACCAAATTTAAGGGTAACATGCACATGATACTGATTTTAATTGTGCGAATAATTAAATTAAATTGAAACTTAAACACATGGAAAATCATAACAGCAAAAAAAGCCACAAGCCATAAAACTTTTGTAGATGTGTTTCGACACACTGGAGATCTGCTGGTCTGCAACAGGAAACATCTACACAGTCGCTGTCATGTTTTGCCTATTAATAGATTGACACAGAATATATAGATATGTAGCAGTTTTTTAACCGGTATGCTCAGTGCTAGTGCTCAGATCTCCCCCAACCCTCACACTCAAAGAGGAATCACAGACAAATAAGAAACACCATGGCAGGTGTCGATTTTAAATTATGCACATTTCCTACCTTATTTGTTAATTCAATTTATTATCTGATCCTTATTCGTTTCAGGTTTATATACATAGTTATTCAAATGCTAGAAAAATATATATTTGGTTTTCCAAGTAAAAACCGCCAAATTACGTTTACACGTTGTTACGTAATGATAGGGGGAGAGGAGATGGGGATTCTTTTATTCCCATAATAGGAATAAAAACATCCGGGTGATGCTACTCCAACAATAGAGCATGCAAAATACCAAAAATAACAATATATTTTAAATATTGCCAATAAAACGTTCTAACGTTGCAAACAACAATAAAACCAGAGAAGAACTTTAACTGTAAGCGTCACAAGCATAAGGAAAACAAAGGGAACAAAAGTCTTCAGAAAAGCGTTCTGAGGATTTTGTTTCCTTTGTTTTTCTCATGTTTGTTAATATTTAAAATTTTACATGAACATTTTATTTTTATTTTATCACGTTATTCCTGTTGCCAACCTATATAACATACATATACGACCAAAATTAGCTTTGCTTGAGGAACCGTGAAAATACACCTTTACAATTTTTTGTTTTCTTCTCCATTTGATTTAGTCAAGTTAGTTTTGCATCAAACACAATGTGATTTTCTGACAGCTTTAGCTCGCAAATGAAATCAGCCGCCCGCAAACCAATGAGAACGAGCTATAATCACGACAAGTCACAGCGACAGACCGGAGGCGCCAAAGCTGCTGTGAATCTGCTGCCCGGAAGCTTCCGTAACTGGCACAGATTTACAGAAAATTACCGTTGTTGGGCCAATAAATAATGAAAGAAAAATCTAAACATTGAATTTGGGGTGGAGGTCTATAAGAATGTATCTCTGAAGGGAAATGACTGCCTTTAGAAAAGTTTCGATGGCATTTTATTTCGTCTTACCTCTGCATAATACATATTAAAGCAGTGTTTATAAGCGCAGTACTGCTTTGTTTACAGCGGTAACCAAGGAAACGCTATATTGCAGCTGTTTCATGAGCGCCACCTGCTGTCAGAGAGTGAATTTGCATTTTAGCATAATTTCACAAAGCTAAAGTCAGACCACTCTGTTTGCCTTGAATCTTGTAATTGTGCAATCTTATTTAAATAAAAAATAACTGCTCATGCTACATGTATTCAGCATCTATGTTTGGACTGTGATTAAAATGCAGTGGTTGCCTCTAATTTCAAATGGCTACAGTTTGTTTCCTTTTAAGTCCAGTTTAGCCTGTGTACCTGGTATTCCCAACGTTATGGGGTCTAAATGTGTGTGTGTGTGTGTGTGTGTGTGTGTGTGTGTGTGTGTGTGTGTGTGTGTGTGTGTTAAATGACAGTGTATATCTGGGTGCTGTCCGACTGAAATGATTCTGATCGTAGTGGTGCCTTGGCTGATTTTTTGTCCCAGTCCAGCCCTGAATATAGGACCTCACATGTCAGATGTTTGTATTTTAAGACTTTGGGTACTTTTTCACTTGTGTGTTTAGTAAGTGTCAAGAAAGTCCAGCTTACATGCAGTATGCATGTGTTTATTCCTGGCTTTCATTTACAAGTATTTATGATCTATAGGAAAATCTGCAAAAATAAACAGGATGTTTTCTTTTTGGTTGTTGTTGTTTTTGGTTTTTTTTGGATTTGTAAAACTATAAAGTAAAGATTTTTTTTTTTTTTTTTAATGTAATAGTTTACGTTACTAGAGGTAAAAAAAAAAAAAAAAAAAAAAAAAAAAAAAAAAAAAAAAAAAAAAGGGGTCCTAATAGCTGTAGGAAACTAAATTATATGTAATATGTAATTATTATTAATATTTCACATACATTGGAAAGGTTTCCGTGACCTCTCACGAGATCTCGGCAAAAAGTCTCACGATTTATTTCCACAACGATGCATGATGGGATACACTAAGCCTCGAATAATTTGTATTTTAAGACTTTGGGTACGTTTTCACTTGTGTGTTTAGTATGTGTCAAGAAAGTCCAGCTTACATGCAGTATGCATGTGTTTATTCCTGGCTTTCATTTACAAGAAAGTATTTATGATCTATAGGAAAATCTGCAAAAATAAACAGGATGTTTTCTTTTTGGTTGTTGTTGTTTTTGGTTTTTTTTGGATTTGTAAAACTATAAAGATTGTTTTTTTGTTTGTTTTTTTTTGTCTGAAGAGATACATTTTTAATGCTACTAGACTGAAAAAATGGTGCAGCGTTTCCTTTGAAACAGGTTTCACTCAGAAATTGCTGTACATTTCACAAATAATTACAAAAGAACATGAAAATTTAAGGTAGAAAGAATGAAAAGTATTTTTTCTTGTAAAATATCCATCTCACAATTTAATCTCAAGCATACTGGATTATAGGAATTGCTGTGTTGTAGTTGTTGCTATGGTGATGTCAGTCAGAATGGCTCCTCCTCTTCCTCTGATCTTTCTTCTCATGATTCACAGTGAGTTTTGATACGCTTGTATGTGCTTTCATTTCTGTCATTCTATAATAGTGCAGCATGTTGTTCATGGCTCAAGAGTATTTAACATGTTAATTTAGTTCCATTAATTATATTAATAAAAGACAAAATATATTTCCCTACTATTGGAGCAATACCAGCATGAAGTCCCACATATGTGTGTCTTTGTTATGTCTATCCAGTGATTTCCTTATTAATGTAATACCAAAATTATCTTGTTGTTTTACTTGGCAAATATTGATATTAATTGTAGTATTTGTTTAAATAATAAAACTAAACTCATTTCAGATGTTTTCAGTGAAAATGGTTGGGGTGTGAGTTACAGTCATTCACACATCTGTGCACTAAAGAACTCATCAGTGATAATGAGCTGCGCTTATACATACCCTACTGAATATAAGATCAAGAAAGCGTTCTGGACCAGAAACCCTGTAAAGGATAAAGAGCCTCCAGATCTGTCTGAGGATCCTGAATACAGTCAGAGGCTTCAGTATCTGGGAGACAAACAGCAGAACTGCACCATCAGACTGAGTCATGTAACACAGAAAGATTCACACAAGTACTGTTTCAGATTCATCACTGATCAACCTGATGGAAAATGGACTGGTTATCCAGGAGTGACTCTTACTGTCACAGGTGACTTTCATGAGGCTGAGCTCTTCTTCTGTGCATTATGTTGAATAATAATCAGTGTATGACAGCAGCACTAGATATAATGTGTGTGTTGTGTTCAGATCTTCAGGTGGAGGCTCCTGAGAGAGTGACAGAGGGTCATAATGTCAGTCTGACATGTAAAAGCAGCTGCACTCTGACTGACAGAGCAACATTCATCTGGTACAGAAACTCACAGCCATTAACTGAGAGAAGAGACGGAAACAATCAACTCCTGCTGCAGTCAGTCAGAAGAGAGGATGCAGGCAGATACAGCTGTGCTCTACATGGACACAGTTACATCTCTCCTGCTGCTCATCTCACTGTCACATGTGAGTACAGATTAATTTGTTCTTTAAAAACCTGGAAATTGTGTTTGAATGAGATGATATAAGGATTTAATATGTATCCTTTATAGATGTACCAAAGAATGTTTCAGTGTCCATCAGTCCATCTGGTGTAATAGTGGAGGGCGATTCAGTGACTCTTAGCTGCAGCAGTGATTCAAACCCTCCTGCAGAAATCAGCTGGTTTAAAAGACGCTGTGACTTTAAACATCATGTGTGAGTTTATCATTAAAAAGCTAATTCTCTGTTTTTTTTCCACTTCAGTTCATATTAGCAATTTTAAGATTGTGTCAGCATCTTGATTAATTTGATGTTTGTTATTAGACTCTCCCAGGAACGTCTCGGTGTCCATCATTCAGTCTGGTCAGATCTGGGAAGGTTATTCAGTGACTCTGAGCTGCAGCAGTGATTCAAACCCTCCTGCTCTGAACTTCAGCTGGTTTAAGGAGAATCAAAGCTCAGCTGTTGGATCTGGACAGAGTTTCAGTGCACTACAGAGTGGACGCTTCTACTGTGAGGCTCACAATCAACATGGATCTCAGAGATCAGACGCTGTTACTGTCACTGTTATAGGTAAACCAGTTTGACACAAAAAAATAATGATAGTGCAAGTTTTGAAGCGCATTAATATAAATCAGTTTGTGGTAAGTTTGCTAGAGAACCTCATTGAACTGTCCATTCTTGTGAAATGCTTCCTATTAATATTCATGAGTCAAAACGAATGTTTTGTGCAGATTAGGGCTTGGCGATATGACGATATTATTGTATATCCACGATGTCTGTTAAGTATCGCGATGTCGATGTCACCAGTCAGGTAACAGACGATTATCGACATTATCGGGAAAAAATGACAAATGATAAACCTAGTAAGTTGTAAAAAATATTTTACATAGCCCCATAGTCACCATACAGGTCGTTTTGCATGCAATAATGAAATAATTTAGTAGGAGGGTTGGGAATCGAAAAGCTATTCCAATTTCGGAAATCAGATCAGATGCATAAGGTCAGGAATCAAATTACTTGTTATAAAATTATACATTTCGATTATGCTTCTCGATTTCTGTATGCGCTTTTATTGAGATTTCAAAAGATTCAACTAAGAAGACGAAATAGAACTCACTTCTGCACTCGCGCGCTGTTTTCTGTGCTGCACACACACACACACACAACGAACGAACACTGGACTGAGCTCTCTTTCTCGCATTCTTACACATTAGAATGGACAAAAACACACAGAATTATATCAAAATATCCAATACATACAATCGGTTATGTCTTAAGTGAAGGTAAAGAGCTGAGAAAGAAAACAAGGGTGTATTGGATCCGTGCATTGACAGCAGCTGCTGCCGGCAGTCATTAATGTTAATGTAAAGAACGAAAGAAAAGAAAATCCCTCACTGATCTTGACTGAATCACTTTTGTAACCTCTTTTATAAATAGCTTTTGTTTATATTTTATTTGCCTGTTGTTCGGCGCTGACTACTGTGCATCTGTGTATGCGATTATTTTGTAGATTCGTTCCAATATAAGTGATCCTTATTTAGGGCATAGGCCTATTCTATTTTGATCTGCAGTTTAATAAAAGTTAAACAGAAAAAAAGACAAAAAGTAGCACTGCATGTGTTTCTGAATATTTATTTAAACAGACTGCATAGGCTAATGATCAAAAACCACAAACATGACAGGTATAATTAAAATCGTCTCGGGTTACTTATGTAACCATGGTTCCCTGAGTAGGGAACGAGACACTGCGTCCTCTAGGGGTCGCTAAAAGAGAGACAAACGAGAGTGGAGCTTTTTCCCTTTGAAAAAAATGCTCGCAGTGCACGCCGATTGCCCCCTCGGAGGCATTGCGTGTGTGCTCTTCGCCCACGCACTATCAGCGCACATTTCAGTGCAATATTTTTACATATTTTTTATACCGTGTATACAATATAATTATGTTTAATTAAGCTGATATATAGCACTACAAATTCTTAATTAATTTGCAACAAAACTATTAAGATTTTTTGCAAATGGCTGAAAACATTATAGCACTATATCTCAGCTCGCCCCTCAACATGCACGCGTTCGGAGATTCGGCAGCCCAACACTGAATATTATATTGTGGGTGTTGTATTTTGATTAATAAAATAAAAATTATAAAAATTACAATACAAAAATGAAATTTAAATTGCCCTGCTTCTAAATAAATAAAGCAGTTTTTATTTCGTTAAAAACGGGCCAAAAGTGACCTCCGAACTAGTAGTCTACCTGAAAGAAAGAAAAAAAAAACTTAAAGTTTTTGCTCAGAATTAGTTTTTAATCCCTGCATGATTTTAGTCATACATGATACATATCAAATACGTTAAAGCTTGACTACAAGTTTAAAAACAACGCTGCAATTGTTATAATTAAGGACATTAAACTTACCATCATGAAATGTGTCTACACAGGCGATAATGCCAAAAAGAAAGAGAAACATCGGAAAAT